TTGATGGAATTTTTGCTTGTATTAATAACTTATTCCTAAAGACAACAGGCATATTTTTAGTGCTTAATTAACTTCTGCAAACCTTTATCAAACCTTTTCACTACCTACTACAGACTATTATTGTTTCTTAAGAGGTGGATCCTTCATTAGGCAGAAAATTTACTAGAGAGACTGAAGAGTTTAAACACTGTTTTCAGAACGCCTTTTAGAGAAAGAACATTAAAGGAGTGAAGCACAGCAGCTGGTTGAGAAATTACATGAAAGGAGTAACACCAGATAAGGAATAACATAGAAGTCCACTTCAAGACACCCAGCTGGAATATTTAAACAGGATTTTGCTTTTTTGATGACGATGGCGGATACTCACAGGCATGTAATTGTCAGCCAACACTGACAGGAAGTACTTGTGCCCATTGTCTTTCACCAGGTCAGCTTGACATGACTGTGGAAACAGAAAGAAGGAGAAGATGGTGGAGACTTCACAGCAGATATATTATGGAGTATGTTTGTTTCTTTCAAGCAGAGCCTCAAAACTTTGCATGAATACTGATTATAAATGTTATTATTGCAGGAGCGTACGGCCCCGAGCAGGGACTAAAATATGAAACATGGCAGAATTGAGATCTAAATCCTAGATTACTCCTAATTATTTCATCAGCGCCAGAAAGCTCTTCCAATGCCACATCCTGCTTCTGTACTTCAGGGTTTATCATGTTTTTCGTCTGTAACATGAAACAAAGTGACGTGAAGCTCAAGATCAAAGTCTGTGTCTGATTCAAACATCTTCAAAAAGTGTCGGAGGAGTTAAATCCGATAAATTATTGTAGGAAACAAGGAAAAAGTTAATTCAAGTAAATGAACCTTTTTCAGTCGATGAAAATAAATATAATAATATAGAATAAACTGGACTTTGAAGTGTGCGAGTGTGATTTTACGTACGCTGTCCACAGCGAGGATTTTAGCCCAGATGAAAACCAGCAGCGGCCGCAGCTCTCTGGCTGAGCTCTGAAGCAGCTTTAACACGTAGGGGAAGATCCCCACGGACAAGGCCTGGGAACACAGAACAGGCAAACACGGAGCGCCGGTGTTTAGAAAGCTGTATTGATGTTACCGTTATGGGTCAGGCTTTGCTGTTGAACCTGACCGTCCAAGTGTGAAGGCCGAGACGCACCTGTGGTTTGAAAAGTCAACGCGAACACCAGAATGAGAAGTAGCCGAGCACAAGCTGGGAGCTTGAAAGACTTGCTGAAAATACAACCTGGCTTTGGACTTATTTCACCTTCCAGCTAAAAGAACAAGAGATCCTCTTTGCGAGGAGCGTGCTAACAATTTGGCTATTATACAATATCCAATTAAATAAACTATCCAACAGCAATAACACCATACTTTGGGATTTTAATCTTAAACTTATATTGATCTGAATTACAAAGATTTTCACTGGAGGTTTTACAGATGCAGCAGCGTCCTGTTCATAATAAGATAATAATCTGGTGTTATACGTGTAACTAAAAAAAGCATACAGCTGATGGTTTTACATTCAGTCTTCAGATGTATCTGCTTTCTCCCCAGCACCTGACTTTAACCCACTAAAAACACTAATATCTTATTTA